GCCACAGAAAGCCTTGATAAAGCCAATGGCCTCAGCTGCCAAGATTCCACAAGGAGTCGGAAATAGGCACCAGATCTCTCTGCTACTGTCGGCGTAGCCCTGCATTAGCAATATCATTTATCTTCCTAAGGACTTCCACAGCCACTATAATGTATTGTAAAATTAAGTGGCATTTCTTCCACCTGCTGAAACTGATGCCAAACGCGTGGAAAGCCCTCCCTGATGAGATGCCGCCACTCGCAAAATCTAAGTGCCCTCCTAAGGGCTGCAGCTGCCTTGGAGACACGGTTTTTCCTATGGGCTGCCTCCTCCACTTAGAATAATAAGCTTTAGATTATCCCAGGGCACTCTAGATCCCGGTGCTGCCCAATCCAATTTGACATAAGGATTGGAGGGGCAGAAAATCTTGCAAGCAGACACTGAAGTTTTCAGCCTGCTCCTTCCACTAGTATAAAGCAATCATTTATAGAGGAAGGTTGGTAAAATTTCATGTGTGTCTGTGCAGGGAGGAAGGCTTTTCAGATGTGAGGCAACATCTGGGCTACAGCTGCTCGGGGCTGCTGATGAAGCCCCACTGTGGTGCTTCTGATACAGCAAGTCCTCAACAAGCCCCAAAGTCACTGAAACAGCGGCAAACTGCTGAGCAGCACCTATTAGTCTTGTATTAACTCCAAGCCCGGTTTTAAAACACCTTAAATGCTTCCCTGGGAAGGAGATTTTATCAGGCATTGCTGCTTGCCAGGGGAAAATAGTAACAACCCAATAGCAACCGATAGCTGTGGGGAGACCCAGATAATCTCTCTTTATCTGTTCCAATGGCCAAACTGCTCCCTTATCAATGTTAGTTGTGTTCCTGCCAACGCAATTACCGTGCTCCACTGGCCTGTTGTGTCTCGTCCTGATTTCACTGCTGTGGTTTTACTGCCCTTGCAGCCCCTGCGATGCCGCGTGCAGCTGCAAAGGCACTTGCTGTAGTTACAGAACTTGTGCTAGTGGCCAAAACAGAGCAGGGCCTCCATGGCAGAAGGGTCCGACGTGAGCAGACACAATCTCTGTCACGAGAAAGCTGCTGCTTTCATTCTAAACAGCATCGTGTGACCCAAGGAAAGGGATTGCTCTTCATCACGGTCCTCCATGCTGCGCAAGCAGCAGGGTGAGCGCCGTTGTAGTCCTTAATCCTCTCTAATCTGGTCAGTCGATTCCCCCAGTCCCTTGCTAGAGCAGGAATATGGCCTATTTAGAAAATACTTTTTTGGAAACCCCCCACTATGAAGCAGTAGTTTGTCCTCTGATTACTTAAAAGTACACCAATGTCACACAAAAGTGTCTCTGGAAAATCTCGGGACTGCAGCATGGGAAGACAGCTTGTGTCTGCCAGGAGAACACTTGCCTCAGCTTGGTCTGCTTGCCCTATTTTCTAGCTTTTTGGCTGTTTCGTCGATAACATGAGGCCTCCAGTGCCGAGGAGGCCTGGCATCTAGACAGGCTTCTTCTAAGTCACAGGTCACAGCCCCAGCCTGGTGCGTATTGATCCTGGGGACTATATCAGACTAGGGATCCTCAAAGCTAACTATGGATGCCTATGTTAGAGGGTTCATTCCTACATAGCAATTATGAATATTGTAGTTTGAGGACATAATAACTGCTCAGAAAGTGTTTATGCAAACATTTAAGAAAAACTTGAGCCAATGCAATTATTTCCACACCCAAATCACTGTGTCACTCTCTCCCCATATTACCGAGCACCGAAGCTGTGATGGGCAATAGCAAGAATGGGGCTGACTCACCGTATCTGCTCCTGAGTGCGCTCCCCAGGCAGGTCAGGTTTATTTTCCCTCGGTGAGCGCGATTTGCTCATCTAGCCACGAGCCCAGAGCATGGCTGCATCTTGTCTTACGTAAACGCACATTTGCTCCTCATTTGTTTAAGATAAATCTTTACTTCCTCTTCTCCTCCGAGTTGGGCCATGGATGGGAAACGTTCATGGTTTTTGCTCTCCCTTCGGTTCTTGTTTCTGCTCCGCCAGCGTTACCGGTGCTGATTTGTCGCTTCCTCCTGCTGCAATTGGTCTGGTGCCACTGTGTAGTTTGTAACGGTGCGCAGTATCAACAGCTCTCCATCTGTCTCTCCTCCGGAGCTTCCCAGCCTGCCATTATAAATATCTGCCAACTCCTTCTCCAAAGAGACGAGCGCTAGATTCCAACTGTTTGCAAAATAAAGGCAGCAGCCAAAAGCTCTCTCCCGCCGTCCGCAACCTGTGCAGAACCTGTGTGCTCCATGGTGGGAGGTTTTATTGCCGCTGCTGAGGAGCTCTGACCATTGTCTTTAATTTATTAGCCAGCCAAAGTGTGCGCTTCCATGAAGGGTTTAAAATATTGCTCTGTTTGCTCAAATATCTCCTCGCGTGTGTCATTTTATTAGGCCATCTTTCTTCAATAACCATCAGGTAATATACCTGGAAAAAAAAAAACAGACTTTTTTTAAACTTTCCTTTAAAATGTAATTCCGATTTAAAACATGCTGTTTGATGAATTGGTCCCTGTTATTTCATAAGATACTTTAATTGACCTGGAATGGACTCAGAGTCTGTGCTCCTTTCCCAGCCTTTCTCTTGTAGATGGAGGGCCATTTACAACAATCTAAAGCCAGAATAAACTCATAGAATTTGCTGACTTTTTGCCAGCATTACCGAGACAAGAATTTGATCTCCCAGTTCTCTATATGCATGAGTCAAAGCAGGATGTGTTTAGAGGAGTTAGTACCAAACAAGGCAATGCATTGATCTGACTCTGCAAACCAAAAAACGGCACATTTTCTAATAGTGATAAAATAAAATCATGTAGAAATATGTTTGCATTGAGTGAAAAAAAATAGATTATGGTGTAGGTGCCTTTTAAACACCGTTAAACGTATTCACATAGAAGTCTAGTGACTCCAAGCCATGTTAAACTCAGGGAGCTTTTTGAAGTCAGCTTTGTGCTTTAGGGTATGACCATCACACCTATTACCATTTACCACTAAAAAATTGACCAGCACTTTGAAAAGTACCAATATCTCCATTGCCTACCTTGGTGTCAAATTTTGCATGTTTTAGGACAGTCAAGTTCATCATTTTCTAGGAGGGGGTACTATGATTTAATTATATATTACAACAGGGAGAAATACAACCAAGGCTAACACTGCAGGAGAAAAGTGCTTATTACCAAATGAATAATAGCCTGAACCCCATTGCCAGGGAACAAACTGAAAAGTGAAATCAGAACCATCGCTGGGTTATGGAGATATCTGTACTTACAAGGTTGAGATCTACCCTGTCTATAAAACTTAATTTTCTGCATCAAGATTTTCTCGTAAAGGAACAGCCATGATTTGTTTAAACTCGTGGGGAGATAAAAAGCAGATGGTATTGATTAGCTAATTAGTAATATTAGCTTATTAGTAATACTAGCTTATCAGCTGCAGATGTGTTTTAAGTTTGCAAAAGCTGCAGATGAATCTTTTTATCTTCGGTTTGTTGAAGAAATTGAGTTTTTAAATCTAGAAGGGAGGGGAAGTTATGAAGAAACATTTAATCTCTTGTTAATTTCTGTGTTAATCTCTTCCCCTGGATATATATTCCACACTCATATCTATTTTTTTTAGCGGAATATGTATAACAAGGTTGCACCTCTCCTAGTCTCTTGTCCAGATTACACGCTGTGTTGTGCAACTTGCTGCAGGGTCTTGTCTCTCTTCTATTCCTCCCCATGGGTTTGTGCCTCTTCTCTTCTTATTGTGGAGAGAAACCACAGCATTATTTTGTTCCATGGTCACTTCTGGCTTGTCTTCTTATGGATGGTTAGCAACTATAGCAGCCAAAGTGGCTGCTGATTCGATGGCTGAATAGCAGAGCTCTGGCCAAGTCCGCTCCATGACCATTCCTGTCATGATGCCGGGTGGTCTTCCAGCCAGGGCAACGTTGAGGTATTGGTGGCCCCTCCAACCTGCAGTTATATCAGATACAACCAAATATTTGATGTTCCCCTTTGATGCATTTTGCTTGCTGCATTTTGATTGCTGGGGTGTAACACGTGATGAGAACAGTGGCCACCCAAAACAGAGGAAAATGAAAAAAGGTTGGAAAATTATGTTTTCTTCCTATAGGGAACTCTCCTCTTTTGCAGATGCTCTACAGAACAGCTTTGCAATGCTGGCTGTACTCTTAAGACTCCAAAATAGGGCATAATGCAAGCTTAGATGGGGCCTAGACTTTTGTTGCTCAACTGCATGTGGGATGCTCTCCATCCAAAAGCCAGCAGGAGTGGAAATTGCCTGAAGTGAGACAGCGACTTGCTCTTCTGTTACACAGAGAACTTGCTATTTTTAGTAGGGTTTAGTGTTCAAGCTTCAGCCTTTCTGTTCCGTCAGGATGACATTTTTTATTGGTTCTTAAACTGAAGAAACAACAAATTCTGCATCCTCTCTGGAGCACGGTCTTGTTAATATTCTTTGAAACATGACATGTGTCGTGGCCATCAAACTGCAGTGATCCCATTTCTTCCGAACTGAGAAAAACATGTCACTTTTGGCTCTAAGTAATACAAAGGAAGAGTCATATTTTAGATAGGAGCTGCATGACTGCAGAAGATGAAAGAAAAATGTTATTACTTTTGGAAATCTCATAATTACAGTTAATGATAATTTAATGAAATGACATTGTCTTCACTGCTATCACTAATGAAATGTTTGAGAGTGATAAAACAGATCTTGCTAAATAGAGTGAGAATCTTGAGTGGAATAGCAACCTGCACGCGCAAGTCTTGAAATCCTATTTTTTGTTACAGTGGTTTGAAAAAGAAGGTAAAATGAGAGCTACATGGCAAATAATGCATACATGAGGTAGTTAAAGGCCTTCCATTAAGCAAACAATAGTGAACTCCCGAATAACATGCTGATGACTGAGTATTGCTCCTTAGAAATGCTAACCCTTCATTATAACATTCTGCTGTTTTTCTTTGCAGACAAACCAGAGAACAAGAAACCCCGCCTGACTTTTTTTATTTCTCAGATTATGAAAGACATAATGCAGAAATAGCAGCATTTCATTTGGACAGGTAAGTGAAATGGATTTTCATTAAAGGAAAAAAGTAGAAATATTGTGATAAGCTGCTTGCCCTTGGCCAGCCCTGTAACTGAAATGCTTTTAAAAGGGGGGAAAATGGAACAAAGGTGGGCAAACTCCATGAATAAATGAAATGGAAGATGATGAAAGGGTAGATAATAATTAGGAAATAAGACTTGCCCTGGGAATGAGAAAGCTGGCAATAACTAATTTTCAGAAAGAAACAGAAATGACATTGAAGAGGAGCTGAGAAATGAATTTCCTTTGTGATCTGCACGAGGAGAAGACTGATCTCATGGGGAATACGCAGCATGAGGATGACGGAGTTTGGCTCACCCCAGTGAGTTCCAGGGCATGTAAATATGAGCAAGACATCACGAATCATGAGAGTATTCAGAGAGAAATGAATGGGAGGGAGAGGGAGGCCAGGTTTCACAGCCAAGAACTGGCGTCATCCCATACAAGGAGCATATTTAGGCCACAAGTAATTAGGAAGGAGAGGACACTAATGGTCATCCCGTCTTTCTAGATCCCCCAAGCAGAATTAGTGCATACTGTGTTGGATGCTGCAAGACCAGATATGGGTTGGAGCCCCCTCCGCCTGCCCAAATTAAGAGTGGGAATCAAAATTAGTGAGGAATTATTAATGGCACATCTAGAAATTGTGACATTTCATGGGCTGAGTTAGAACTGAAGCTCCCCTCACACCATGAAGTGCCAAGAAACTTCCTACCTAACATCTGAAATTTTGGTCCATAGCTTATTTGGGGCTGGGTCACGTTGCCTGCTAGTTTGATGGTTAGGATCAGAGGGCCTGTTGGTGGGCATCACAGAATACACTTGCCATTAGGAACCATCCTGGTCAGATCCCTAAAGGCATTTCACATTATATGGTGGCTGACCTTGGTGTTGATCTCTTTTGCTTTATATTTTGTTATTGCCATTTTAAGGAAATGGTATTGTAGGACAAAGCATTTATCAAGCTTCTGATGGAAAGTATGCTAAATATCTACACGGTAAGCAGAAAAAAACAGTTGCTATCAGAGATAGAAAATCTTATCAGCAGACAAAGGACAAAGAAAACCCACCTACAAGGAGGCTTTTTAAGGGGATTTTGCTGTTACTGTATCTAATAGCAATGCTTCATAGGGAGCTTATTATGATCTCCTAAAGAGAAAGTTTGGGGGTAGTAAAAGACTCTTTATCCCTTTTTTGCCCTAGGGAAAATTTTTAGTATCTGGGAGATATTGCTTAGGCTGGTATACGGGAAGAAGAGCAGAAGAAAATAAATCAAAGAAATCTGTTGGGATAAAAATAAAACAGTTTTTAGGTCTAATAGCTGGATTTTTTTTTTTTCCTAATGAAAGAGAGACACTGAATCCCCATTACTCAGGTCAGTTAAAAATCGGTGAGCAAAATGTGTTTTATAACAATCCTGCATTGGCACAAGGTCAAAACCTAGTCTCTACTATCTACTTTCTGGAACTTTTTGTCACTTGATGTTTTCCATGGAACATTGTGTTCCTATGTTCTTCTGAATATTGTGTCTGCTTCACACAATGTAAGCCAGAACTGATGGCCTTCAAGACATGTTTTGTAGAATATTATACAAAAGACTATCCAGTTTAAGGTTGATGGATTTTTTACCACTAAGACCACAGATTGATGATGTCTTCAGAGTGTAATGTGCCTTCCTAGTACAAACAGCTATCATTGTATTTTAATCCTCTACATAAACTCTCCCTTTCCAGGATCCTGGATTTCCGTCGTGTCCCCCCTGTTGCAGGCAGATTGGTTAACATGACCAGAGAAATAAGAGATGTTACTCGTGACAAGAAACTGTGGAGAACATTTTTCATCTCACCAGGTAGGCTTAGAAATGGCACTGTATTCTTCCATGCCACCCAATACATGTTTAAGGAAAGGATGAATAGATTGTTTAATTGCTCAGATATTTCTAATAGAACTGTCTTCTGGACCTTTGAATAAATATAAATGTGGAGACAGAGTTTGCAAAGCAGACTATATTGTTTTGAATTGAGTACCTTTACCCTTGAAAACTTATCCACAGAGATGGGCTTTTAGGTTCATGAAAGCAAAGAATTCAACAAAGCTTTATGTAAAGCAATTTCCAAAGCAATTTCTTCTGTTGCTTGCAGTTAACCCCAAACCTTATTATTTAGCCCATTAGTTAATTTGACTTTTTTTTTTCCCTAGTGCTAGGTGATCAGTCACTTCTGTTGGTCAGATGTGTTTATTTTTGCTTTTTTTTCCTGTTTCACTGGAGGACTGAAACCTAATTTTCTGAGCTACACTCCTCACTGTTTATTACAAAAGGAGTCTCAAAAAACTAAAATGAAGCAAATAGATGTGTGGCATATCTTGCCTCCATCTGAAAGCCACTCTTGGCAGAAGCCAGGGTAGAAGTGCCTTGAATTGTTCCCAGTCCTCAGTCTTGCTTTTAGTGTTGGCCTCAGGAACAATTATTATTCTCTCTTTCTATGAATATTCTCTCGTTCTCAACATCTGGTGGCCCCAACAGAAGCAGAGCTGTACAAACCCAAAATAAAACCAGGCTCTGCTCACCAGAATACATAACCAAAACAGGACAGGCGAAGGGTGGAAGAAGGATCATCTCTGATTACCATGTGGGGTGCTGAAACAGAGAAATGGAGCCTCTGAATCAAGGCACTAAAAACAAACTAAATACATTCTTAGAGAAAGAATATATAGGGAACCATTCAATTTAAAGCATGTGGGGATGTTCCAGTGAGTTTAATTCATATTATTTCAGCTCTGTGCAACTGCGTTTTACTGAACTCAGGCTGTGATTTGTAGAGGCAGGAAATCAGGAGCGGAAATCTCCCGAGATCCAGGAGTGCTCCTGTGCACTGGCTGTTCAGCCTTGATCCCAAAGTCACGGTCCAAGGACTTCACCAGCTCCTCCCAACTGAAACTGTAATTCAGTGCTCTTAGTTAGAGACCAAGGCACTTTCACTGCAGAGTTTTATCTCCTAAAATGTTCATTACAGTTTTGTGATCACCAATAAACTCATTGTTATGGCAGCATTTTTAGCCTAATATTGATGTTTTCTTAGCTTAATATTTATGTTCAGCTCGAGAGCACACGGTATAGCAGGCAGTTATTTAGTTCAGTAACTTCGCTTGTAAAATACATTACATAATTACATCTTCCTTTGTGTCACGAGTGCTCCATTTTAACACGTACCACTGGCAGTGTTCACAGAATGTGATGTGCAGGCACTTTGTGTGCTCCAGTTAGGCACTTGCTTCTCCCGCTCTCTCCTCCTCTCTCTCCCTCTCTGTCTCTCTACATTTTTTTTTCGCTTTGCTGGCAAACATTTATTCATGAAAACTGATAAAAAAAATGCAGCTGTTAATGGGCATAAGGTACTTTGATTCGTTTGAAATACTAACCATTTTATTCCCATTTTATCAAGGCAGATATGGATTAGTGGACTAGCTTGCTTTTTACTCTTTGCAGGTTATATATCAAGGCTTAAAGGGGAACTTCAGTGGTTTCTGAGAATCACAAAACTGTACTCAAGTATCACACAGCTCACAGCAGCAAGAGCAAGGGATTGTGGAGTAAGGCTGCCAGTTAGGATGAAGATCTTTATCTTGTCATTATGAAATTCCTGACATCCAAAGGAGGATCCAAGCATAATCCTTCATTCAAATTTATTTAGAGGAATTGGATAAATTCAATTAAAATATTTGATTAGCCATGAATCAGGCTTTTCTGTAGAATAAAGCACTTAGGCAATTGATTTTTCTTTTAGTTTTACATTTCTGAAATCAATATACTCTGCTTAAATCATGCTGGTTAGTTGTCAGAGTTCCTTTCTATAAGACCCATGTTAATTAGTTGGATTCACATTAACATATGCCCAACCTCCATCTTGTATTTCATCCTGACCTTACAAAGCAGGCTTTAATTAGTGCCTAATGAAAATGTAATAGCGATCCTAAATTAAGCATTTAGAAACAAATTCACGAAACCTAACAGGGAGCTCAAGAAGCAGATTAAGGACAGAAATGGAAAAAGACTTGGAAAAATCGCTACCGTGGAATGTGGTGGGTACAATGTGACTGGAGCCCTGTGGGCAATGCCTGTGCCCGAGAGCTGATGCTCCTTTCAAAGGAGGCAAAGGGTGGAGGGCATCAACGAGTGCTACCTGGTGAGAGGCCACTGACTGCTCCTGTTCCCATCTCCTGGAGCATCCCACTGCTGCCTGCAGGGTGGTAGGATGCTCAGCAGCATCTTGGGGTGAAGGTGCTGCATGGCCCTTGCAGAGGGAACCCCTGTTATGGCATTGATGGTGATGAAGCATCATAAGGATATTGGACAAGTGTGAGTTTGGGACCATAAAAGATTCATCAGGCTAGCTCATGAGTGGGGACCCTAAGAGAGACCTGAAGAGGCTGACTTGTCTCCTCTTGCAAGATGAAGGTGGAATTGATTAAGCAATGAGTGGACAATTGATTTTAAGGTAGAGTTGGCTACAGAGGTGGAGAATTGTGGTCTTCCAAGAGGCAGTCTGTACCCACATGGCACCACCATGCCCCCTCTGGGACACTCGTCTAGGCACATGTGGTTCTGCATCTGTATCTCCAGCAAAGCCCAGGCACAAGTTATGGTTGTGGGGACACATAGTGCATCTGCTAAAATATCCCTCTTTATGCACCCATATATACCTGCCAAAATGAAAGGACCTAAGTGTCAGTCATTCTCTACAGCTCATTCACTCAGGCTAGGAGACCACCATTTGCAGAGAAAATCCTCTGAGGGGAAATATTGTCCGTGTTTTCTTGAAGAACACATCAGGACAACTGTGAGGTATCCAAAAAACCTCCCTAGGTTTCCCTGTCTGGGTGATTTCCCAGGATGTGGTCCTACAAAACATGGAAATAAGGCTCTCAATGTCAGCAAGGTGCAGGCAGGTGTTTTTCCATGCTGCCCTGCAGAGAAGCCTTCATTTTTGCCATTGGAAAGTGTAAATGACTGAGACGAGACAGGACTAGGGTCGGTCAATACATTAGACTGCATTCGGAGAGAAAGCAGACGGCAGGAAAGTGCACTTCCAGGCAGTTTGGGCTAAACAGGAGAAATGGAATTAGGTCAGTAATTATTTAAATTAATTTTACATCCTTTGCAGTAGGGCAGACAGCAGCAGCCCTGCTACTCTTACAAATGAATGGTAATTTGCTAGGAAAAAAAAAAAGCATATTAATGATGTCAGCCTTCGTTTTGGAAGTAATTGAGGCAGCAGCTTAAAGAAATCAATGTTACACAGCTAGTAAGCATTACGTTTTTTGTTCAAATTTTGTTTCAAGGGATTATGGATTTTTTTTTCCTCCCAGCAAACAATGGGAGATCTGAATTAGTTATTATTTTGAGCAGGTAAATGAAAGATCTTTTCATCCATTGCTTTAGTAAATATTCAGGTTTCTTTCAAATGTTTCACTAGGTTGCTAAATATCCACTGTTATCAGTCATGCAAATTGCAATAAAAAAAATTTGCTCTGCCGAATGATTTGCATTAAGGTTCCTACAGTTGTTCCTCTTCTCCCTAAGAAGAATTATTGTTCAGATATCTGGACAGTGCATATAATACATGTATGGATAAGGCACACTGTAGTTCTTCATTGTTATCATTAATTCCAATTTTTTTCTCTTACTTTTAACCTTAGAATAGCTGAACCCTACTCTTGGCTTAGGATTCCCTGGGAAGCATTTTGTATGTGTCTCTAACTAGACTTTTTTCCTTAAATGTGTTTGAAAATCAGGTTATCTACTGAGGTTTCCAAGATGCTTTCTATTTCACCTTTAAATCTGAAATGAGAATTGCATTTCCTTATTTTTGTCACTGTTTTTCTTGTACAGTTTAAAGAGAGAATGAATGTTTTTCCTCAGGTAATAATTTGGGTGCTTCCTCCTAGTTTCTATATGTAAGCATTAGGGTGGATATATCAATCAATTGAAGCAGCTAATTACTTCAGTAGTGAAACCTGAGGTCCAGCACCCAAGATACAGCCTTCCCCCACTCAAGAAGCCAGACAGGAGAGGACACACCAAGGTTGAGCCCAGAGACACTTCTCAGCTGTCGGGAAAAGCTTTGCTCTTGCAAACAGCTCCTCCCAAAGAAATACAACTTTAGCCCGGTTTTGCTGGCCTAATGACAGGCTGTGTCCTCCCATGCCTCCGAGAACTCAACTCTTGGGGCTGTCAAGGGGTGTCCTGCATTAAACCCCAATGTGGAGGAGGAGAGATTAAGGGCAGCACGCCCACGAGTTATGCTGCTCTGCAGCAGTCAAGGTGATCACTGTGATAGCCCCCAACCTTTCCTGAAGATTTATCAGAATACAAACGCACGATTATTGTCAAATGATTAGTCCCAGTTGCTGCCAGTGACAATACAGAGCAGGGCTCCATTGTTCCTTAAGTTAAATTCAGAAGCAAACTACTAAACACAGTATTTATCTTCCTGCTGTGCAGAGTGCTGTGTTTAATACAATTCCTTCTTTTCCCAAAGGTCAGATTTCCACCCCACGCAGCGGCGGCGGCAGCAGCACCGCAGTGGCATTGCGCTGCCTTGTGCTCTTTACAGAGCTGCTACAGCTCTGCACAACCAGCCACGAGCTCCCTGCAGCCCGCAGGAAGGTTCCTACAACCCCTCACACATAAATTGTCAGGGGCCATGAAGATGTATCTCGCTGGGGCACTTACCTGCACAAATGAGCAGGTGGTGCTGACGCAGCCAAACCAAAGCACGAGCCCCACTGCAATTTTGTGTAGAAAACCACTTCTTTCTGCAGAAGCAACCCCTCACTGCAGAGCAGGGGAGGATCCTGCCTTCTATTGAGAGATCAGGCACAGGGGAAATAAGGATATCTTTATATCTCCTAACTCTTCTTGGCTAGCCTGCAGCAAGGAGCATCATCTGTGTGTGATTTCTTGTAAATCATCCTCTGTGGCAGCCTGGAGCTCCTCAAAATACTTTGTCTGCAATTGTTTCTTTAAAGGTACAAGTCACAGCTGTTTCTCCGCAGTTTTTATTGGCTGAGTGTATTCCAGCCTTCCTAATGACCCAATATCATCCTCCTGTTTCCAAGCCATCTGCAGCTTGCAGCACTGCCCACAGGTGCTTGGACAACCTCTTGCTTTCATCCTGAATTATGGAAGACATTTACATGGAGGCATGAAATTCCCTTGGTTTTGCCAGGATGATCAAAGACTAAGTTAAGGCATCCATGAAGCCCTGTAAAAGCTATGCCAAGTCCATTGCTGTGATAGTATTTTTGAAAAGAAAACTGATGAGACTTTGTAGTTTGCAGAGCCATGATCTAATGGCTTATGTTAAATTGGGTTTATCTATACTTTGACTGTACATTTAATTTTAGACTAATGAAATAAGTGGGTCTGAAGGAGGCCCACCAAGATGTTGTGAGGCTGCAGCATATGGCATACAGGAGGGATTTGGATTTATTTGAGTGGAGAAAAAAAGATAATCCTGGACTGACTCTGAAGTTTGTCCTGGCGTGAAGCAGCAGGTTGGACTAGAGACCTCCAGAGGTTCTTTCCAACCCAAGTTTCCCTGTGATTCTGTGATTATTTTCCTACACACTTTATAAGTAGTTTTTCAAAGATCTACATTCAGAGAAATGTGAGATACAGTAATGATTGAAAGGCATTCTGTTTACAAGCTAATAGTCATAGCATGTGATGAGTAGTACCACACAGAGGTGGCCGAGGTGACTACAGGAAATAAAAAGGCCAACTGGCTAATTGGTCATTTCTTAGCCAACACGCAGTCTCCAGCTACTACTCCTTTAATTAACATGTTAAGGGACTAACTATATCTCTCAGGAAGATCTTTTAAAATGCTTTTAAGAAAGTGTAGTATGCTTGATAAAATGTTTGTAATAACGGAACTAAAAATGGAAGTACAGACATGCTAAGTGCTCCTTTTCTTCCCTTTATAATTTCTGTTCTTCATTTTCTCCTCCCTGCAAGTACTTTCAGTAAATGCCAACAAGGTTTTTGACCACAGGGTAAATATTTCTGGACTGAATCAGAATGTGCAGAGCCAGTATGAACCAACACTGAGAAAGCAAATACACAGCTCAGATGGGAACTGCTCTTCGCTGCCACAGGTAGTGGTGAAGAACAGTGGTGGCCCTTATGAGTCAGCCACCACACAGGGATGTGTGTAACGTGTCTAGCATGAAGTGATCGCAGTATAACGGACAAACATGATGATCATCAATGGAGGCTTGTTAACGAGTAACTTGGACAAGCCAAAATATAACACTTCAGTCTTAGCATCTGATTTATTTGGTGAAATTCCAGCACTGTCTGTCTCTAGTTAATAGAGGGACCTAGTTAAGACCATTATAACCATCACAAGACCTTATTTTTCCTCTGCCTTCTCCTGCTCGACCTTCATGTTGGCCTTTTTCTCCATTCCATCCGTTTTCACCGGAGCAGTGGGGCCAGCCTTTCTCCCTGTCTTCCTCACTCTTCATCACATGCACATGCCATCTCCAGCGGGGCATCTGCCAGCCCAAGTTCAGACTGTGCCATGAGGAGCAGCATCACGGCGATGCAGAGAGCGCCTTGCTGCAAGGCATCGCTGAGATGAGAAATAACCAGCTCCCTTTTCAGAGCAGCAGGGTCTTTGCTAGTGGGCAAGCAAGGGGACGTGTGTTAAAATCACCTCCATCTATTTACTAGCCCTCCCCAGGCTCATTTTGATTCTGCTTGAAGACAGAGAGTCACTCTGAAGCAACAGTCCAATGTAGAGGCCTTGCAGGGAATTAGGAAGTCCTGTAACTTCTCTGCATCGTTGTGTATTATCATAAGAAAAAGACATAGTTTTGGTCTAATACCATTTTATATGTGTAAATCAACTGCGGAATGTGTTATAGTAGACCAGCAAAAACATTGTGCTCCTATTCTCGTTCATAACCCGCTGCTGGTGTGTTTGGGGGGGATGAGATACCCTTTCCTGCCTTGAATGAATTCACTTGGGAGTGGAGCTATTTCTTGTAAAGAGCTGGGATATTCTTGTTGTTTCAGAAATGTATGATGGCAGCTTTGGGGAGATTTTAAAGTAAGATACACTTTAAAATATGTTTATGCTGCTGCTGCAGGGCTTTTCTTCTGTTTTTTTTTGCAATAATGTGATGTATGGAAGAGGAAATTCGTGTTTAGGATGTATACTTAAAGAGTTAGATCTGTGATATTTCCACCTTCCACAAACAGGCCTACATTTGTTTGTGTGATGAACAGTTCTCCTTAGCGAAACTGCCAATTCTTCTCACATGAGAAAGTAAATGAGTAAAACGTTGTTGTCTGTTCTTAGAGGAAATGAGCCAAGATTTTGAAAGGCGACTTAATTTTGGTCATGCTCTATTGTTCAGCTGTGTGATTTGGGGCTCCAGCCACCCTAGCTCAAATAGAGTAATAAATATATCTCAGAGGATGTAGTGCGGGAAGCTGCAAGAGGAAAGGAAAGGCTAAAAAGCACCTTTTTTATTTGGGGCTCTGGAATCTCTATGAATTGGAAATAGTCATAGAGAGTTAATGTAGAATATGATCCCAACCAGTGAAATAAATTGGTCTTTTTAGTGGGTTCAGTGAAAGAAAACTGTGGTAGCAGTGGGTCGGGGTTTTATTTCTGCTCATGTTACTTCAGTGTTTTTTATGAATTCTTGAACAGTAATTTAAGAGGAGGTTTTAAAATTTTTTTCTTTTATTTGCCAGCTAACAACATCTGCTTCTACGGCGAATGCTCATACTACTGCTCAACTGAGCATGCCTTGTGTGGGAAACCAGATCAGATTGAAGGCTCTCTAGCTGCTTTCCTACCTGATTTGTCTTTAGCTAAAAGGAAAACCTGGAGAAACCCTTGGAGACGGTCCTACCACAAGCGCAAGAAAGCAGAGTGAGTAGTGGTGAGCAAAGGGTTTGCCAGCTGCAGGGCAAGACAGAAGAATAAATGGTGCTTCAGTCGCTGCACCTCCCTCTAAAGCAGTCAGCTTATGGGAGCATTTGCATGACACCAGTGTTCCAGCCCCTAGAATAGATATTTAAGCAACCTTTTTATGTCACGTAAAGTATCAAAATATTGGCTTTTTTTTTCAGATGGGAAGTTGATCCAGATTATTGTGAAGAGGTTAAACAAACACCTCCATATGACAGTGGGACCAGAATCCTGGATATAATGGATATGACAATTTTTGATTTCCTAATGGGTATGTTTCATCTCTTTCAAAAATTAAATGCAATATTTAATCAGAAAAAATCCACTTCTTTCTACACCACTTTGCATAGCAAAGCAATTCACTAAACCATGGTTGAAGCTGCATTTATCGTGGCATTCTATGATTATGAGAAAGTGCCAATTTATATGGTTGTGTATTCCTGTCAGTGCAGATTAAAGGAATAAAGATGAGCACAAATACATAGTGAAGAGCACAGGTCATGCTAGTCTTCTTCACAACAGTTAAGAGCTTCACTGTTCACCTTGCAATAAATGCTTGGCCTTATCCTAAGCCTAAATCCTTGGCTTTAGTTCTGTGTGTTCCTACATGCACATGCAAACACTGGCCATTACTGGCACATTCTTGCTGCTTGGTCTATAAAGCATCAGAGAGGGAAAAAAGAAGCGCTGATTGATAATGAAGGCAGCTGCAGAATGTATCAGGAATACTGATTTTTAAGTAGCCTGATCAAAGTAAAATAAATATTAACAATTAAGTAACAGCAACCAATTCCAAGCTATCTCAGTGGTTAAGATAGGGATGTTCTCATATGAAACTTACTCCAATTCGGACAATGTGCCTAAAGGTGTCAGCGGGCATATTTGATCTTCAGGTACCTGCCAGTACCACTACACCATCCTCAGCCATTTCTGCTACTGAGTTCTTGCAAAAGACTCTGCAGCAGCAGCCAGCTCACAGCTCAGGAGCCATATGTGGCATCCGCAGATGGATCACGAACCCCACCACGCAGGCAAAATTCATTGCTTGGCACCAAGACATTGGCACACACTGGGACAACATTGACCTGAAAATGCAGATCACACGTCTGCCTGCCAGGGGTGCCCAAGGAGCAGCTGTTCAGCTGGTACCACCACAACAGTAGCCTAACCCATACGCTAGAGTCATAATATTGTGCTGGCTTCCCGAGCAGCCTGAAATTTGAACAAATTTCTTAACCAGCAAAAAACAGAATGTTTGATTGTTGTTCCAAATATTTAACATAATGTTACTGAAGTCCAATGGGTTAACATGCCTGCTTGTAGTATGCGTTTTCCTAATCTAAAAATGGCTTCCCTAAGCCATAACTATGGCCTCTAACTGTGGCCTCACAGCCAGCACAGGTAACATCGCTGCTTGGCAAGTTACACCGACTGAGGTTTGGAGCATCAGGGCTTCAGTTTCCACGGAAGAAGTTCTGCTGGCTTAGGACCAGGCTATCCCTCGATTGACTGGGCTGTCCAAGCACTTAAGATGCCACGGTGCTAGATTGAGATTTCCCTCAGGAACCCAGGTTTCTAAGTGGGGAGGAAGCTCCTTTTTCAACTCTAGAGGATCAACAAAGAGATAAAGCATGATATGTTACAGACGACTTGAAAAGCTCATCTTTTCTTCCAAAAGGTCTGATGACCAGACACGAAAGGGAGATGGTACAGATGCCTTTGGGACTACTTTTAAGAGAAAATCTCCCCTCTCCAATATTGCACACCTTGGGATTCCCAAGAGACTCCTAATAGTGAAGGATAAGCTCAAAGTTCAGCTGAAGTGGGAAAGTGTGGCATTGCCAAACAGCCACCATGTTTGGAGGAACACAATGGTTCTTGCTGAACCTGGGCTAATGTGTTGTCTGCTGGCCTGCCCACCCAGCAGCAAACCCAACTAAAAATGGTGCTTTTTGTCTTTGTTCCATAGGTAACATGGATCGACATCACTATGAAACCTTTGAAAAGTTTGGAAATGAAACTTTTATTATCCACTTAGATAACGGAAGAGGGTAAGTATCTTTAATAACTGTTATGAGCAATGAAATAATTCTGGCCAAGCTAATTATTCAACAGTAATCCTTTTGAGATTAATTTTGTGTCCTATAATTTATAAATTATTAACAGCTTTTCATATAATAGAACAGTATTGAAAGCCTCAAGTGGAAACAAGTCTTCTTTGCTATTCAGGCACAGATTTGCCTCATCCGTACCTCAGAGTTTATGAGGTGAATAGTTCAGCAAAGAATGGCACAAAAGAAATCCAGATAAATGTCCAGATTTGCTCCAGTCCAGTTAAGCAAACACAGGGAATTTTTGTTTCCATATTCTGGACTGAAAAGAAATGTGTGCAAGTTAATCTTTAAAATAGCCTTTGCCATATTCTTGTTCTTACTTTTAAATAGGTTTGGAAAATATTCCCACGATGAACTTTCCATATTGGTGCCTTTAAACCAGTGCTGCAGGTATGTGTCATCTCCATGTTTCCTTCCCATTTTGTGTTGCTGTTCCCACCAGCAGGACTGAAATTCCCAGTGAGCCTCTTACTGGTCTCAGTGACCTCTCTTATGACATGGAAGGAAGAAAATGTCACAGGGAGCCTGGTGAGCCTGACCTGAACTAGCCCTGAGCATTGGCACAAATGTGCTTAAGTGCTTTGATAAGATCAAGCCCTCATGGAAAGAGTGTTCTTGTAGGCTGTAGCATGACACATTATTTATATTTTGCTTCATTAAGGCAAAATACACCTGCCATTGAAAGCAAAGGGCAAAACTGCTCTACACTAGTTCATACTCTTCATAGGAGGTTTTCCACAGCGCCCAGAGCCAACTTTCAGTGATGCTCAGTGTTTTGGCTTGGCACAAGCTCTTTGGCTCTGGAGACACAAGGGTATCTCTGCAGGATTATACACTGCTGAGCTTCTCCCACTTGCAGGGATGAACATGAGCACCAGAGCTACAGAATGCTCTGTGATGGTGCCTTGCATGGACCACCATCGTGAAAGCTCTTTGTGCTTCACTGTAGAGCTGAGCTCTGAAACCTCTCCCTATCTATCAACATCATTAGTCAGGTGAAAACTTGTTAGCAATATGACACTGACAGTTTGACACCATTTCAGCTAAGAAGGTTTTTACGCTATTATCAGGATGCTGAACATAACCCTTTTAGCCTCACTGAACTAAGTAGCGATGAAAATACTGATTTGCATTTTCTTCTTTTTCTCTTAGAATAAGGAAGTCAACCTATCTGCGATTACAGTTGTTAGCCAAGGAGGAGTACAAGCTCAGTCTCTTGATGAAGGAGTCTTTGCTAAAGGATAAAGTAGCGCCCATTCTCTATCAGCCTCACTTGGAGGCCATGGACAGGCGGCTACGGATTGTCCTCAAGGCTGTTAGCGACTGTATAGAAAAGGATGGTTACGACAACGTGGTTGAAAATGACTTTAACACTGATGTTAACACTGTTACGACCGAGAGGTAGTGAAATCGTGAAATCGCAAGACTACGTTTTTACCAGCCAAGTAAAGAAGATTCAAAAAGGAAAAAAAAAAGAACAAAAGTCTTGCAAAAGACTGTGTATGCCACTTTGTGAATTCAGTGAATTCAGAAAATGAAATATAATTGTTCCCAAAGTAGGTAAAGTGTAGACTCTGCAAAGGATTAGTTCATTAAGAAAAATAAGTCTAATGTGATGCTTTTCGTCAGTACCTAAAAGAGATTATGAAAAAATTCAGAAAATATTCAGATCACTGACAGACTGCAGTCTGATAGCAAACCACCTCCTGTCCTTTTTGTATAGAAAGGAGGCCTTTACTTAATATTTTGTATTTATATATGGTATATCTGCAAAATCCAAACCTACCTACCAAATTTAACTAAAGAGGGACAGCACAGTTTTGTGACTCACACTTATTTATGGTGACAGTCCACTTAGTACTTTGTGTTAACCCTTTAAGTGCTCTAATTCACTGTATCTTATTTAAGTTGAATGCTTTTTCCCCCCCCCAGATACTCAGCATTTAAAGGGTTAAGGCATTACAAACTTCTAAAGGCAAAAATAACAATAATAATTACAGTGATTACCAGAAGGGAAATTCACTAATTGTTCATTGACAGGAATACTTGAATGTTGGTTTTACAAGTGATGTAAAATGACAAGTTGTACTATTTATCCATAAGGAGGTAGCAGCTCTTATCTTTCTAGACTATCATAGCCGAGCTGCTGCTTTTCAACTTTGCTTTTGATAGTTTTGTGTAAATATATACATATATGGGTAAAAAGCTGCTTTCGGCAGCTCTAGGCTTACTTTTGCAGCATTTTTGTGGAATTGTTTGCAACGTGGTAAAAGTGCAATAAAGATATGGCAAAACGTGTAGCCATCATGTCTAAATGGATTCATTTTTCAGAGCAAAGCTTGTTCAGAGAAGTTACATACAGCAGCCAAATACTCCAGAAGTGGTTGTTTAAATTTTGTAGCAATAGAAAATTGAGTTAGAGCAGGGAATTGATGATTAATATACATTATAATTCTGACAAGGACCATGCTGTTGAAAATGGCTAATCTTTATGAAAACACTGTTTTGAATATCATTTCATTATGTCTTCCTCTTGCAATTGTAGCTGTAGAAACAAGCTGTATAGCAACACCTCTAAAAGATTATGGCTTGACACACTGCCCAGACAATTTAAATACTTCAGTTCCTCTAACTTGGGTAATAAAAGCTAGCACATAGTCTAGGAAAACAGCCTAAATTAACTAAAAACATAGTTTTGTCAACTAAACAGTTTTGCTCCACGTATAGTTGAGCTCAGGTAACATTTGTGGAGACTTTCAGCCTGGAAGTAGCATATAAATTGATCAAGTGGCTGTATTAGACTTGCAGAAACGCTGTGTTCAACAGAAGGAATCCCTCATTCCTGTTTTGGGTGCAAGAGAGAATTCATTATGACAGTATCCATCACAGCCATAATTCAAAGCTGTCATTTGTTGCATTTTATGGCTTTCTTTTAAAGGACTTTTAAGCACAGACTTTAAAAACTTGTAGCCAGCTAGACTAAAATGTAAGCATTTCAGCACAGCCTGGCAGTATTAAATTTATGAGTGAGGAAAAGGCTGTTATATAGCCTCATTTATGTAGGCTGATACATCATAACTGAATTTTTTTCCTTTTACTACCATTGTTTCCGACTCACTTGACTCACACAGCCTAGAAAGATGACAGAACACCTCAGATTGTGCAACTGGCCATGAACTGGGAAAATTCCACTTTCGCCCCATGGCTCTTTCACTTGCAGAGCGGCAGACGATGCCCTTGCAGTACAGGGCTTGGCGCTGGCAGTGCCTCCCAGACAGCCTAAAGGCCCAAGCTATGAGACTGCAGTGAGGTTAAACGAGCAATATATACCCACCGAATTCCTATTCCCTGAGAGACTACATGCAGAGTAATTGCAAATCTTAATTTCTTTTACTTGCTTTACCCTAAAACAAGCACTGCCTGGCTGTGATTTTCTCTCAGGTGCTGCGGGATTGTGCCAGGATAGGGAAGCTGGCAGAGATTGGCCAGAGCCCATCAGGGTGGACTAAGTGTCTACAAAATTCTTCCACCATGGCAGTTCTGCTTTCCAGTGGGAATTCGCTCTGCCAGGGGCTCTGGGCCTGGAATACTGATTTTGCCGTGGAACCGCAGCTCTTGGCAGACTCTTACCTTAGTCACCAGAAGAGGATCAGATGAGGCAGGGCTCTTCTCTCTTTACAAGCTGGGTTGCAAGTCGGGAGCTGCTGGCAGTCCAGCTAAAGGCCTTTGCAGAAAGCTGCTTGGACAGGAAGAAGGCTGTGTCAATATTTTGAATCCGATTCTGGGTCTGTATAAGCTAAATTAGTAGTGTTTTTACAGACCCCTTAACTGAGGATCACTCATCCTTGCTACACAGTAGTCAGCTCTGTAGGATCTTTGTTTTCTTTCCTTTGAGGCCTACATTAAATATAGGCCTACTCTGAGGCCTACATTTGAGCTGCCCGTGCCACAATTTGTCATAATCCTACAAAAACTCCCTTCAGTTCTTACAAACAGAAAAATCCTGGGCTGCCTTCAGTCCTAAAATAAATGTACTGAAAATCCAAAGGAGGATTTCTCTTTGGGATGAGATATAAGAAGCCCCTGGAAGAAGGAAAAGCGGGCAGAGTAGGGGTAGATTTACTGCACCTGACCATCATCAGCACAAACCCACCCCAGGTTGCACAGGCAGTAAATGGGAACAGCTGGTTTTGGTCTCTCTGCAAAGAAACTGAGGTCTTTTGGATAAAAGAAGCCGTGCAAACTAGCCTGATCTGTGATAAGCCTGATTAATTAAAAAAAGGCCATGTTTCTCTGTATCAGGAAGCTCTGGTGTATTTGGGTTTGTGCTGCCCGGTAGCTAGAGCTTTGACTCATATTAATTTTGTGGGAATTTGGAAAGGAAAATGATTATTGCTGTATTCCAATCTTTCCTTTCTATGCAGGTGGGGGTGAGCAGGCATGGCAGAAGGGAAATCAGAGAAGGGTTGTGAGCTCCTAGCTGCCTGACAGCTCCTGGGGTTAAGACAGTCTTCCAAATAGCTAAATACAGCCAAGGGTAGGGGGAAAACTGCTTCTGGGTGCACCTGCAGAGCCCCAAGACAGCCAGTGCTCTGAGCTAGGATCTGGCCTTAGTTTCCTCCAGTGAAAATCTGACTTCTCTTTTTTCTTTTTTTTGGTGAGCTTTTAGGCAAACAAAAAGACTTTGCTCTCCCAGGATGAAACACATCTTCCTGCAGTCAACCAGAGCTTTCGGAGCTATGTTGGCAGTATTTACAATTGGAGGGCCTCTTTGCTTGTTCTCGGTGGGCTCGTGGGGAGAGCATCACGCGCTTGTTGTGTGGCAGTCGTTCACTTGAGCGCGCACGTGTGGCTGCCGGATTACCGCAGCGAGAGGCAATGCCTCTGAAAGGGCTGTCACTGTGTATTAGGTCAATAATCCATGAACTAAGGAGGATTAACATGATGCAGTGTAACATCTCTTTAGGAGTCCTACATATCTACTAGGCAAAAAGATTCACTCTAAGGAGATAAATAAATGCCGGAATCCAATTGGGTTCTCTCCAGTTCTCACAAATGTGTATAACAACATGTAGACAATGACGCACCAAGAAATCTGAAGTAGTCTGTCAGGGGCATAACACAGTCAGCAAAGTCAATATAGTATGCACAATAAATAACAGACGAAATAGATAACATACTTCTAAAAGCACCTAATCACAACTGTATCTGACAGCCTAGCATAGCTTACTGTATTCTCCTGAGTAATTCAGATAAGAAACCCATTTTGTTTTGGTATTTTTCTGTTATTTAAGCATCAAGGAAAATTCATACAAATTAAAACAAGAAAAAAGCCCTCATTGCTTGAATTGGATATTGCTCTTGTGCTCAGCGCTAGGCAGAGCCCATGATGTGCAAGCTCGGAGCCCGAAGGCAGTTGCAATGCAAGCAACAGCATGACACGCTGCGTAGGAGGAAGGAGCCTGGGATTTCAGTGCACTTGCTGGATTGCTGTCCTCAGGGGATGAACTGCAAGCAAACCTGTCCTCTCTTGATTGCAGAGGGAGGAGTGTTCAGGAGATTTTCTGGTTTCCGTTAGTGGCCCCATATGTGACTATGGGGTTCCTTTGGGTCTGGAGGGGATTGCTGCAATGCAATCCTGACCTCCTCCGTTGAAATGGCTACGTCTTTCCCTTCATAACTTGTCCAGACTCCACCTGAAGACTGTCCCTGATGCAAGGCTATTTTGGGGCCCAAGCCTAATTGTAATGATTTACTAGCTTGGAGATGGAAATAAACTTTTAAACCGTGACAATCTGCATCCTCATAGAGCAGATTTTCTTCTAGCCCTGTATAAAAGACTGCAAAATGCGTTTTCCAGAAATTATTCCAGGTATCAGTTGTTTCTGTGGTCATTCTTGCCAGTAACCTCATTTACTAAAATATCTGTAGTCCAGAAAATGTTCAGTCATTTCATTCATTGAATTCCATTTTTGTTTTGTTTTTTTACCAGTTAGAAGCTGTTGAGTTTTCCTGAATGTATTTTTTACACTATACCTGTAAAAGTGATGCATGGGTAGCCTCCAGCCATAATTCAGACTGTAAGCAGACCAGCCTAGATTATCTATTTGCTTCTACATTTGTGTCAGTAAAGTGCACACCCAGTGCTCTGGGAACAACTAGAAAAGAAATAAATGCAATTCAATTTGGTAGGTCAAAAAAACAGGCCAGTTCTGGTCATGGATAAAAATGGAGCTTTATCAAAAAGGAATGCTATTAATTTGACAGTAATAGAATCTTTTCCTCTAATACAGGGTCATTGTAAAAGTCTGTGGTCTGTGGTTCTCAAGAGCTGCTTACACATATGCTCTTGGTTGTTCATACTTCTTTTAAAAGATATAAAATACTTCCCAAATATTTCCATATATGCAGTGGGCCTGAGGAAGTAAGGGGATTTTGAACAGGATGGGAAGATTGCCTGCATTTGTATCCTGTCGACCACATGATATCTACCATACGTGCCAGAAGATCAGCTCTCCGCCTGCAAATGACCCTTATACCTGATCAGCCACTGTCACTTGTCAGGAATAGCATGAATTATGCTTCAAATCTTGCTCAAATATGGCCCCAAGCCTAGCAACTAGCATATGCAACTGGCAGCTTGAGCTAAAACAGAATATCTTAAAATCTTTTGTGTCAGATCAGAACCTCCCCACATCTATAAATGTGGGAATCTGGGACACGTTGTGCTTTGGCCACAGTAAATGAATGGCATTAGTGTCCCTACATAAAACTTCTCTGCCACTTATTCTGGAAGGATGCTCACTGATTGATAGACACATATACAAGAAAACCTACATGTTTTAGTTGACCCCCCTGACATCACTTCAAAATACATCTCAAGATAGATCCTACCAGAAAGACAAACAATTTGAAAGCTCATTCCTCCAACTGGAGGTGGAGGATTCAACAATTTGAAAGCTCATTCCTCCAACAGCACTGTTGGTGCTGTCCTAATGCCAACCATGTGTCACTCCAGGGGTGGTTGCTAGTCAGCTGAAATACAGTGATCTTTGTACATCCACATAGCGTGGTGCAGCACCGGGACACCTGGAAAAGGTGCCATAAATCAAGGGAAGGCTGCAG